TGGGGCAATGTGTGCCTCCCCTAACCCTGATCCCAGCGCTGCCCTGGAGTGAGGCACACAGAAACAACCAGCAACACGCAGGCACACGGCTCTGTGCCTGACTCCAGGGCTTTTGCTCTCAGGAACCACAAGCAACAAGTAATTACCCGTGGTCTCCTGCAGAGAGAAATGTTCAGCTCCTGCCTCCCCTGGAAAACACTGCTTGTTATAAGTTTAGCAGTTCTTCTTGCAGGTAAGATATTCTTGAATATGACTAAAAATTATTTAAATAGGGCTGTCTTAAAGAAATGAAGGGCCTGCTTGAGGGCCCAACCCCAAAGAGGTGCTCACATTGCTGTTTCCAACAGATCAGTGTTTGTACAGATTATTCTCATTTGGGCCCAGATCCTCTCAGGTATACAAGTTAGTACTAGGACTGTGGGATAGGAGAGAGGCAGGATAGAAGGACAGTTCCTCTGGACAAGCAGTATTTGGGGTTTGTTCATGTGTCAGGAGGGACTATGACCTAGCTAAGTACCTGCTTCTGCTTGTCTTTTAGGTTTTACTGAAATGGGAGCTTTTGCCAGTCTAAGTGAATGCAAAAGTGCAACCATAGATGATGTGAATGGGAGTCTGCAGGTAAGAGTTTAGCTGACCCAGGGTCTGCTCTGCACCCACCTCCTGTGCTGCTGGGCTCCTGCCGTGTGTGCCTGCGCTGGCTGGATGAGCACAGCTCGTGTGCTGCTTTGGCAATGTACAGAGTGCATGCTGGGGAGGGGAGCCCCATGCAAGAGCAGAAAAACATTAGTGTCATCTGGCTTACCACAGCTTTGGTCCTGCTACTGCTCATCCAAAAAGTGTCCTTGTAGATATATTTTCCAGTTTTGCCCTGCTCCAGATACATGAAGTGGCTTGAACATAAGCAGTAGAGCAAGATAAGTAGCAATAGCTACCTAGAAATACATGAGTCTCTGTGCTCACAGACAGGTTAATTCTAAGGCTCCAAAGTCTTTCCTGTTCAACTTAGACTTTTTCCTCCCGTAACTCCACAGAAATATTCAAAATGCTTGCCTGAAATGATTGCCAAGGGTGAAAAAGATTCAATCAACTTCCTGGCATGGAGACTGCAAGAAACACTTGATCTGCTGCGCCCTGTTCAAGAGCAGTGTGAGGCCCCTCCTCAACCAACGCTCCCCTCTGCTGGGCTTTGAACAAAGAGGCGGTGCAGAAGCACAAAGGAAATGTTTTCTTCTACAGAATGAACCGAGTTTATTGCTGCATTTATTTAGGGGAGGAGGGGCATAATCTAAGAGACCTCTCATCAACAGGGAGTGCTGGGACGGGGGAGGCAGAGCAGCACAAACAGGGGGGTGCTGCTGTCCCTGCAGCCCAGGCACTGGGGCTGAGCAGCTGCACAGTCACAGGGCCAGCAGGGCCTGTCTGCCCTCCAGCCAGAGCCTCTGTGCTGTCTCGGAGCTGGCATGACACTCATATTTCTCCAAAAAATATTTGGATAGTTTTGGCCACAGCAGCACTGAATGTCAGTGCTGTGAATGCAGATGCCACAGTGAGCTGCCTCTGAAGTCTAACTGGGGCTGACTGACCCCGTTGTCACAGTGACAAGTGAGGGAAAAATTCTGTGGGTGTGGCAAAAAAAGAAAAGAAAAAAGAAAAAAGTAAAAGAAAAAAGAAAAAAGTGGGGGTAGAAAAACATTTAAACAAGCAAAAATACTTGCTTTGATGATTCCAGCTAGTGGAGACAGGCCAATGAATGCGCTTGAGAATGGGAGGCTTTTATACTCACTTTCACGCTGATACACTGTTTTCTTACTCTCTTTCTTTTTTCTTACTCTCTTTCTTTTTTCTTTTTATCCACCCAAAAGTTTGCAAGCAGCTATCTCCGTGCCCACGCCCAGTGGCCCCAAAGAACGGGGGGCTGGTGTGTGTGACCATTGACAGCACTCAGTACTGCAAACCCATGTGCAACAAGGTAACATTCCTGCCTTACCCTGCATTGCTGCATCTATTCCTTCTTTTACAAGCGCTGATTTGGTAAAGCCTAATTTTGCTTGCTATACCTTTTTTATATCCCTCAGGGCTGGGAGAGGTTGCAGTGTTATATATCTATCTAAAAAATATACATTTATCTGCCCTGATTGTTTCTTCCCCTTGCAGTTACCATGACCCAAGGCAGGGTTTGTTTATTTTCTCCCCACTGTTGTTTCCCAAGGGTTATGACTTTGAGTTCCTCAGAAGCAGCAGGCTGTATGAAACGTGTGGCAATGCCACTGGGTTTTCCTGGACCACGCAGCTTGTCGGGGGAAAGGCACTGGCTGTTTGCAACCGTGAGTGCTTCTCAGATATATCTGCTCATGCGGACACGAGGCTCCCTCTCCTTTGTTCAAAAAAATGTGAGGAAAGAAAAGTTTCTGGTTTTGTGACAGCCTTGTCATGTGTGACATTGGCAGAGCCAGTGCTGAGCTGGCAAATTGATGGGTAAGAACACACATTAGCTTTAATACTCTCATGAAGGCATTGCTGTTTCATCTTGGGATACCAAATATTACATTTATGCAGATGTTTGTGGGAAGATGGACCTGTTTTATAAAAAATCCAGTAAATTGGTACCACCCTAACTCAAACCCCATGTTGCATAAGGGTGTGTGACCTACTGGATGGCAGCAATAGGACATAAAACTGTTTATCTTTCAACAATACTTGAAGAATCTTAGCAAAATTGGCCAACACCTGTATGCACAGACAACAAAGCCCAGCAGCTGGGCCCCAGCCAGCAGTGCTGCCATCTTCGTGGCAGCCCAAGGACTGTAAGACTGCTCCCTTTGTATCCATTCCTCAATCTGTGATCCAAAGCAGGCTACATGACTCTGTTGTTATTGCCTTAATTTAAAAATAAATGTGTGTGTAGATACACAAATGGGACATCCTACCTCTCCTGTGCTTAATGGAAAGTATTTTCCTGTTTCACTGCCTAGTTGGCTAGTTGTTTTCCAAGGCTTACTAAAAGCAAGCAATCATCTAGGCACTGTTATTCCAAGCTGGAGACTTCAGTCTAGAAAATGGGAATGCTGGCACATGTTTAAAGACCAGGACAAAACTAAGCTAATTCAGCTGCTTATTTATTTATTTATTTATTTGTTTATTGCCATCTTTGATCTTTTCCAGCCTCTGAAGTGGCCATCAGTGGAGCTAAATCTGCCTATTTCCCCAGCAACAGCAGCTGTGTGCACACGCTTGCCTTCCCTGAGAGCCAGGGAGAGCAGCTGGACATCTTCCTCAAGGAGCTCGCCGAGCAGGGCATGGACGGCTCCGGCCGGGACCAGGGGGCTGATTGTATCATCTGTGGTTACTAGCACACCAAGCAGCCTGGGCACAGCCCAGCCTCTGGCTGCACTTGGACAGCAGAAGCAGAGCAGTGAAATCACAGCTAACACATGTAAACACACTGCTTTTGTTTAGTGAAAGGGCTGGAGATCATAGTCATGACCTCAGCTTTGGGGTATGGGTATATAGGTTAAATCTAATCCCACAGCTCATGGCAGAAGAGTTTCAAAGAGGGAAGACCACGTTTATGGCTCAAATTTATCTAGCTGGAATTAAATAAGAACTACTGGGTTTTTTTTTTAATGGATGCCTTCTTATTGGCTTGAATTCTTCATGATCTCTGAAGATAGTGATAACACTGATTGCTATCAAAAATTGTCCCGTGTCAGAGGTCATCTTTACTGAGAAAGGACCACACTTTTGCTCACTTACAATCGCTAGTTAATCACTATTATTGCTCTGATGACCATTAAAGCTGTGTGACAGCAGTCCCTGGCTGTAGGGGTATAATACTTCATCCACTTGCTTGCTTGGTTGGGGCTTAGAACAGCAGCAGAAAACCTGCCCATTTGTCCTGGCACTAAGTGAAGGTGAAGATCAAAGGCAACTCAGCACTGGTGATCCAGCTTATCTGTGGAGCTGTAGCTACTAAACAACGTGCATGTGAATTATTATGAAATATAAACAAGAAACATAGTTACTGCTTGATTGGTTTTCAGTGCAATCTATGCTTGGGGTAATATTTTAATTTTCTTCTGTTGAGCAAACAGTAAAGCTATAGATCTGAAGACAGACAGCTCATCTGTTTGTGTTTCCTTTCTCTTTTTCACCTTTTCTCTATTTCTCTCACTACCACATTTTTGTGGTACATGATGTAAGATTGACCCTTACCTCATTAATCAGATAAATGATTCAAATATATATATTTACATACTTCTATGCCAGGCTCAGAATCGAGTCATTACAAGCAGAAAACCCCATAAATAACCCTAGTTGCTTTAGGGACCAGAAGCAGACAGTCGTATGACAATGAGTAGAGCAGACAATTACACCAGGAAAGGGATAAGGTGGCTGCTTTGGCTGCTTATAAACCATGTGGCAATAATTTAAATCATTGTGCTGGAGACAAAAGTGCTGTAGTCTTAATGAAAAATGATGAGTTCTGAATCATTGCGGTTTTTTTGGGTTTTAAAAAAAAATATTTATTTCTGGCAAACAAATGATCTCTATCAAATGAAATGATAATGTTTTGAAGTCTTTCCAGACAAATCATTATAAACCGATGCTCAGATAAAATATCTGGAGTACTTTGCAGCGTAATTTTTCTACTGCTGCTAAACCCTATTTTTTCTCTCAATTTTGTTAATCTATTCTAGTGACTTTCCAAAGAAAACAACAAAAGAAAAGTCACTCATATTTTATTTCATGAGGAAATCAAGCCTGTAAACTAACAGAAACTATTTAATTTGTGGGTCAGAAATCATCATAGTTGAGTTTCACACAGTGAAGTGGAAGAATTAGGCTGGAAAGCTTGAATTATCATCTGTCATGAACCTGATATTAAGCTGGAGATTGGGTTGCTGCTGGGATGTTTCTCAAAAACTTGCAGAGAAGTTTTGTTCTATTCTCACCACCTGAGTTCTTATTTATATATGAGACAGGGAGTTGACTCAATAAGCCCATATGACACAGTTAAAACCTAAAGTAAATTTAATCATGTTATTTCCCAGAGTACACTTGCATAATTTAATTCATGTAAATGGATGCTGTGTGTTTGCATTAACTTCTTGTTGGTGTCTGGCCTGGCCTGTCTGAGCATTGGACCATTCCTCGTGCTCCTGCTCTAAAGCCAGGATGAGGTAGGCTTTGTTCCAGCACTAGGGGGTTGAGGAGAGAGGAAAATTCATATAGAAGGGAAGAACTTAAGAACATTTTTAACCATTAAGTTTTCAGATCAAACAACAGAAAAAGGGTAGATTTATTTATTGTACCTTTCTCTGAAATTTTATTTATTTTTTAGGTTTTGCAATACAACCAGACTAAACTACTGCCTCCCCAGAGTATCCTGCATGCTTTTGATAAGTCCACCTGTCAGTCAGCTAATATTTACAGTGTAACTATAGAGAGGGAGGCTTTCCTGATATTAATTAAGGGAATACAGTGCTGCCTTATCCTTGCTTCTCTTTCAGTCCATTATAACACAGGAGAAGAACTCAGTCTAGGAACTGAGCCAACAACAGTAATTACAACCCAGCCAAAAAATGGAAGGCAAAGTGCCGAGAGCTGCAGCTCATGACGACAAAATCACACATGTTCTCTTTCCACAGGAACTTAGTAGCAACAGACTGGTAGACCCACTGTTTTTGGGTGGATCACAGGTAGTGAGAGTGATCCTGAGAGATGTTATCATTGTGAACCATCCTCAGGGCACAGGTGGTGCAGCAGGAGTGGCTCACACCGAGCCTTGCAGTGAAATCTGCGGCACACGCTTCATTCTCCAGATCACCACTGCAGCGGGGGGCAGCAGCATCAGGAAACTCATTACCAGCACTGCAGCAAAAATGACCAGCAGGATTTCCCACGGGGCCAGGATTGTTTCCACCATCATTTCCTCCATGTCAAGAGTCTGAAGCTGTTAAGCAAAAAATATGCTGCATTATTTATTTGCAAATAGGAATTATGTCTGAATGGATGTGTTTGTTTTAGCCAGCATAGGGGTGTCAGTCTCTTTGGCCTATTCCTTTCTCAGCCTGAAGAATAAACCCATTTCCTGGGCTGCAGACCCCAGAAGAGCTCTTCCTCTTTCTCTCTGTGCCCACAGGAGCCTCCATAGAGCATCAGCCTGCCTTTCCCCCTTGGCTCAGCTGCAGTTGCTGGTGCTGGTATGAGACTCCCTGTCCACCCTAAAGCACAGTTCCTAACCCCTGGGGAAGCCTTTCCCTTTAAAATTTTGATTTCTAAGACCCTCTTCTCCCACTTAGGGCATCATTACACAAAATGATTACTATACTGACATGTATCAAAGCCAAGGATGAAAATAAAAGAAGATGATGGAAAGGAGAATAGGAAATTGAACTGAAAATATACAAAATGCAATATGCAAAATATGAAAATATGCATCAGAATGCATATTTTATCTATTTCCATGTGTAATGCTTTAGAAAGAGCAGAGTGTTTAGGAAGGAGTTAAATCATGTCGATTTTGCCAAGTGCTAACAGGTGTGTCCTAGGGAAGGCAGTGTTCAATTCCTGCCACAGGACCCACACGCCTGAGAGCCATCAGGACTGCAAGTCCTCTTCCAGGACCCACCCACCTGAAAGCTGCACAGTGGGTGAATAAAAGGAGGTGCCAGGGGATGAAGAGGATTTTTTTCTCCACAACCCCTTGTACCAGTAGTGAGGAGGTTCTCTAAGGGGCTGCAGTGCTGCCCACACTGTGGGAACTGGGGCTACAACTCACCAGAGGAGGTCTCAGATTTGTCCAAGTATGAGCTCTCCTGGGTGTTTGTTACTAAATCCTAACCTTTATGTAAAGGTGAAGATGGAAACAGGGTTGACAGAATATGTATGTCTAAGGAAAGTGGAAAATTTGAATAATTTCCAGCAATTGTGTACATGACTGTGTTAAAATTACAATTAGCTCAATATTATTTTTATTTGTTTTTTCTGTGGTTTGTGAGGTGAGTCACTATATGTCTGATAACAAATCTTGGAGGATTTAAGCCATTATATCCTTAATGAAGCCTAGCTATCCATTAAGTAGACTCCTAGTGGAGTTCACCTTGGCTGCTGTGTCACATTCTAGTTAGAGTAATCTCAAATCTTACAATGACAGAAAAAGTACAGGGGCTGCAGCTGGACCCCCCTAGCTCAGGGCCTGGAGCACTCTCAGCTGCTCTCTTCTTACCAGTGAAGCCACATACCTGAGGCAGGATGGTGACTTGAGCTGGAATGCTGCCCACCAGGTTCATTCCCTGAAGTGGGTTGTGCTCTGTGTCTGTTTTCACCCAAACTATAAAACAGCTGCTTGATTTTGTGTGTGTTTGTGGGCTCTGACCATAGTTCTGCTGATGTGGGCTGTGCTGCAAAGCCCATCAGGCTCTGTGATACTCTGACCTTTCCTCTGGCAGCCTTTGGAATTATTCTCCCGTGTTGGAGAGGGATTATTTTTTTGTTCAGGGAGCTTCCTTGTGCTGCTTCATTGCTGCCTACAGCTGCTGCCCAGAGAATGTCACAGGTCCTTGGGTGTTAATAGGGGTGTCTTAGAGAGTGCAGTGCTCAATACAATTCCTTCCACAGGACCCACACACCTGAAAGTCATAAGGCCAGCCAGTCCTTTGTCAGATCCCATACACCTGAAAGCTACATTAGCCTCCTGTCTGCTAATTTGAATATCTTTGTCAATTAACTCCTTTAAATATCTCTATTTCTGACTTGCTTTGTGGTCCTTTTTTCCTGCCTTTTTCTCTGACAGGCATCTTCTCTAAAGCTCTTGCTGTTTGTTACTTTTGCTTTGTTTCCTAGCTTTTGTTTCAAATCTTGCTGTTGTTTAATTTCCTTCATTTTTCCCCTCTCAGTTTGTTGTATTTCCCTATTTTGAAAATTTGAAAATTCAGTCATGGTTTGCATGGGAAATCCCTGTCCCCATTCTCTGCTCTATTGATTCCTCACTAGTGTCAGGATCTGGGGTGAAAAAAACAAAATCCATTGAGAGCATCCACTGCTCTGCCAGCAGCCAGATCTGGTGGGGTGAGAGCACTGCCCCTTTCCTTAAACCCTGGCTGTGAGGGAAGGTCACAGCAGGTATTTTTGTACAAAACAAACCTCCAGTGATTTTCATCTGGACTATATACCAATCTGTGTAAGAAACAGAGACCCCAAGAGAGAGTGGATGCTGAGGGTGAAGGAAGGCTCTGCTTTTTTCCTGTGCTGAGAAAGCAAATGCTGTGGTTTGAAGTGGAGGAGGTGGGGTGTGCTGAGCACATACCCCTCTCCTTCATCCCTTGGTGGAGATGACATAACACATTTCTGTGCTTGGATCAGGAGCTGCTGTCCTGCCAGCTGTACCCAGGCAGTGAAACCCGGGCTGGACAAAGCAGCCCTGCCTGGGACTGTGGGGGGAGCACTGCAGGGTTTCCATCTGCCGTGGCCCTCGGTGAGGATGATATGGCAGATGCAATTGGGAAGTGATGGGAAGGTTTGTGGTAGTGTTGAGGCAGCTCTGAGGATTTGAGGATGTGCAGCTCAAGGCTGTAAGCTGCTGCTGACTAGGAAGTCATGCTAAGTGTTACATAAAGTTTCCTAAGTGTCTATTTGTTCTGCATTAACCTATTCTAGACTTTTCTTGTACTTGTGTTCTCATGCCCTAAGGCGTTCCTCAGCTTGAGTGAGTGCTGCACAGCCTCAAGGCACAATATGCAGTGTGCTTTGGTCTTTGGGGGGCTGAATGCAACAACCCTGCGGCTGTGACAAAAGGTTGTGTCATAAGTCAGTATTACAATAGACATCGTTTTCAGTAAGATAATAAAAAATAAGGCACATTAATGAAAGCAGAACTCATCTTGAAGGGAACATGGGTGCACTGCCAAGTGAAGCTGTTCACTGTGGTGCTGTGAAACCAGCAGAGGCTGCAGGCCAGGACTCAGTGCCCTTCTGAATACTGCAGGCCTATCTCAGCCAGCCCATTCTCATCAGCACAGCTGTAAAAGGTCTGGGACTGCTCTACTAATGAGCTGTTTCTCACAGAGACACAGTATTTGATTATGGGGGGACATAAGTGAATCAAAATAGTGGTCAACCAAAACATAGCTCTGGAAATACAAAGTCTTTAGAGTAAGTGTGTACTGTCACCGGAGCTTTGGGAGTTCTTTATCTCAACTAAAATCCTCATCAGTGAATGAGTAAACATGTCAGATCTGGTCTCTAAACCAAAAAAATAATTTATATTGAAGTTTGTTCTAGATCTATCCCTAAATTTAAGAAGTGGATAGATGAGTAAGGGCGCTTGCTAAAATTTGAACGCATTGAATGACATGCAATAAATGACTCATTTAGAGAACTATACAATAAATAAGGCAGTTGGGGAGGGGAGGAAAAGGAGGCCTATTAGAGGTGTGATTTGTGATTGTACCTTCCATTTCCAATGTTTCATTTAAGATTTGCCTGAAGGCTATACAAATTGAGGTGGGATTTTTTTCTATACTATAGTTGATGAAAGACCATTCTGGATACTAAAGGTGGCTTAATCCTAGCACAGTGGACAGAATATTTTCTTACTAAAACTACAATTCTATCCTCTAACCCTCCAGAGAAAACAAGTATAAACTTATATAATCTTGGACATGAAGCTGATATTCTTCACTAACATCATATATTTAATACAATCTAAAGCAGACCCTATAAAAATGTATCCTAGATTGTGGATTGCTTTGCTGCTCCTTTTATCTTAGCAAAGATTCAATTTTGAGTTGCAATACTTGAAGGCCATGGCACACAACTCTTGCAGAGGGCTGTACAAGCAGGAAACAAAATACTTTAAGTGTTTTTAGCTGATGTGCTGTGTGCTGGCTTATGGCCTGCTGCAATATAGAAAAGCCAGAAAACACTGTTTGATTTGAAGCCTTACCTTTTGATTATTAGGAAAAAGAGCAAAACCACATGGAGGGGGACAGTGACGTACTCTGTGTTGCTGCTGTCTTGCAGTGGAGTGGATGGGCAGGATGCTGCCTTGGGGCCTCTGCCCTCCAAGGAATCCACCCCAGTCCTTCCAGCCAGCTGGAACTAAGAATGGTTTTCCTGCCTGCGGTGTTGAATGTGGTCTTTGCTAGCTGTAATGAACATAGGTTAAAAAGGCAGTTATTGTTCTCTGCTAACCTTGTTTCCCCCTGCCCACTCCACGTTACACATAGATATCTTCATTTTAGAGTACTAACAATAGGGAGACCCTTCCAAAAACCCAGATGTATTTATCCCTCTATCACACAGTTATACTTCCTCAATGTCCAATTGTCCAACAAATGCTGAAGGTAGCAATACTGTTAGAAAAAAAAAGGGCTTATTTGCAGTCTACAGAAATAAGTGTGAAGGTTCAAGACAACCCTCTGAATCTTACAGTAACGTTAGTTATTGTAACTTGAGAAGTTTTCCTGAGCAAGACGCTTTTGGGAGTTGGTAACCTCCTAGTCTGTAACTTGCTCTTGGTTGTGGTTTCTTTGAAAATGTATTGCATAGGGCTAAAAGATGAACCACTATCTGAATTAGCACCTAGTTATTTAATTTATTAGCTTCCAAACTACAGAATTATTTGCTATCATATAATAATTTTTACTCTTTGCCTGGAAAGTCACAAATCTAGTACTGCTGGCTGAGCTCTGGAAATAGAAAAACAAGTTTTAAAACTTTGGGAGCCCAGTAAAATTGTAAGTGCAGCTATCAAATGGCAGAATGGATTGATGTCTGCAAGGCCTGTTTTATATCCGTGAATATTTATATTTTCTTTTGTTTCTAGCAGATATTCTAGTTAGTAGCTACAGCACTTAATGTCAGTCAAAGACTTTGTGAAATCAAGCGACGGTTCTCAGCTCTTACTTTGGTGGAGATCAATGCAGTTAGAGTGGATTAAAAAACACAATCAACAGTACAAAACCATATAAAATTTGTATAAAGTACAAAACAATATATCTGAAATATTTAAGACTGATTATTAGTGATATCTTCACACAAATTTTGATTTATTATTAGGTCAGCAATTCCACTAGATTCTGCTATTAAGTGTATCAGATAAAACCACACGAACCATATTGAATTTCCAATATCTTCTACAAACAGGGCTTGTAGCTGCTTATGTGGGGAGGGGTTTTATTATCTGCACCTGAGAGCTGCTCAGTCAGATACAAAGACAGGCTCCCAGCTGCTTTAGCACAACTGGAGCTGAGAAAATTTTGCTCTGTGTTGCAGAGGTGTGACCACTCTTCTCCCAGGCACACGCTTATTTTAGAGGAAGAACAAGCTGAAAGGGGTAAACCAACAACAACAACGAACTTGTTCTGCTTCATTTCCACTCAGTGATATAAATATTTGCCCTTCAAGTGGGGAAAACAAGTGCTACTGCGTACTTGTTCTCTAACTTTACTGCCAGCTTCCTGCTAACACTCCAAGATAATTCCCCTTGGCTGGTTTTGTGAAGAGGTCACGGCTGCTGCTGCAGCGTCCTCAGTGTGCCCCGTAACCTGGTGCAACGCAGCAAAGGAATTCATTCCCCTGACTCTGTGTTACAAACAGAGCAAGCAAATGGCAGGAGCAGGAAAAGTTCTCACACCTGGATGTCTGGCACAGTGATGGACTTGAAAAGAGGGTGGTGATCAAGAGATAACTACATTGCAAGTTAAAATTGTCACTAAAAAGTCCTGAAAGAACCAGAAATCAAATTAATGAGTTTAGTACCTTAGGGAAAAGGCTTCATTTCATCTACAAGTAACTAAAGTATTAATTAAAATATTTCAGTATTCATTTTCTAAAGGATTTCAGCCTTTATAAGGCATGCAGCAGTTTAGTCTGATTATTTTTAAGTCAAATCTGCATTTATCTTTCAGCGAGTAAAGTCACTGTAGGATACAAATCCAGCTTAAGATATTTTAATGTGAAATTTGGGTTCAGAAATTAAATGTATAAAACCTGGGGGAAGATTTTTAAAACCAAAATTGTGATGAAGACAGACTATTTAATAGACAGAACTAGCATAGCAAACTGTTGGGATTAAGCTGATCAAGCCCTTAGTTTCATCTTGCTTCCAAATGTAATTGTAATCAGGTGACTACAATGAAAGTTAAAAATGCAAGAAGAGTTTTTCAGCTGTTGTTTAAATCACACTTTTCTGGACCTATAAATTCAGATTTTTGTATTTTGTCTGAAAAGATGGTTTTGTGCTCTCATGGATAACACATTGTGGCATATGTCTGTTAGGTTTCTGGTTCTTGAATGTGTAGCAGCGAGGAGATACCTACATCTGAGTCAAATACATCTCTTCTGAAACATTTAGATTTTAAATGTTTTTGAATAAACTTATACGAGCTGGAGGTGTGCTAACTGTAAAAGGAGAATAAAGGACTGCCTTATGCAGTCCACTTACATAATTCTAACAATTTAGCAAACTATTTCGCACTTTAATTATGTGAATAGGAACTCTAGATTCTTCAAACCTTCCCCGCTGACAACCTTTCACCCAAACCAGGAGTATTTTAGCTATCCCCCTTATTTTTCTAGACAGGCATCAGAGCAGTTGAGTTTGTGTGGAGGGCTTTTGTCTTTCCCTGGCTCCCTGGAAGTAGGCATCGGTATTTGTGCCCGCTCTTACCTCCTCAGCGGCCCGGGGTGTCCGGCAGGCGCTGCCCCGGGCCCGAGCGGCTCTGCCGGCCGCATCCCGGGAGGGCCGGGCGGGCTCCCCGCGGCTGT